TCGACCCCTCGCGTCAAGATGCACAGGGGGTGATCCTCCCTCCCTGTCGCCCCACGCGCCAGCGCCAGCACCACTGGGCTTGCCGTCCTGCCGAACTCGCCCATCCCGTCGGGTATCTGGTTCAGCGTCCGCACTATGATGGCTGGCGCTCCTTCGGCTACAGCCTCGGCCTGCACGCGCTCGTCAATCGCCGGCCCCAGGTTGGATGGGGCGGTGACCTGGGCGTCAAGTCCCGGGATGTGGTACGTAGTCCAACCCTCCTCCTCGGCCGTCAGCTGGCACCCGTAGCAGTGGTACTTCTTGGCCATCTCCGTGCCCTGGGGGCCCCGCACCATGGCCGTTAGCCATGCTCCGCTGGCCGATACCAAGGGTATGATGGCCCGCCCAGCCGACGGCGTAGGCGATCTCGACCGGTGCCGATGGGGTTGCTCGGACGCAATCCCCGCCACCACAGGCGCCGGTCTGTCGGCAGCAGCGGCGAGACGAGCGGCGTCCTCCGTCGCCAGGTCGTGCTCCAAACACGTCGAAACCCCGAGGTTCAGGACCCGACCCAACGCATGGCAGCCGAGATGCGCGCACTTCTTCGCTCCTCTCTCGCGCTCGTAGGCGTTCGTATGCTGCCAGCATAAGTTGACCATCTTCTCGGCCCCCTTGACGTTTGACTTCTCCCCGTCCTCGGTGACCAAGCGTACGGGGGCACCTCGGGCTCGATCTCGACACTTCTCCTTGCACAGCTGGAATATCGTGTCTCCCTCCTGGTACAGCACCTCGTGAGCCATACAGCGCTGGTGCTCCGGCTCTGACTCCGTCTCCGAGTTCGGGTCCTTCAGCAGGGCAGCTGGGGTGTCTGCCCTGCTCCGCCGGCCACGCTGGCAGCCCCTCTGGCCGCAGCGCTTGGGGACCCGCAGAGCCTGGCGCAACCCTTCAACCCCACGGCTGCGCAGCCCCGCCCACACGACGCAGCAGCAGTTCCCACGGCCCGCCCGGCCCAGCAAGGCTTCGGCGCCGCCTCCACCAGCGCCTCCAAGTTGGTGTCCGTCTCCGCGGTCACGTACCCGTACGCGGGGACATGTACGGCGTAGTTGCCGTCGTCCGTGCACGGCGTGTCCCGACACAGGTGGACCACCTTGTCCTGGGAGTCCCCCAGCAGGTCGCGCAGCCGCCGCGACGTGGTCGCGAGCACCTCGCGGTACGGCCACGCCACTCCTGCCTTCTTGTACTTGATCCCCGTATTCAAAGGCGGCCTCTCCAACCTCGCAGCCGTATCACCCACCTTCATGATCAGATGATGTGGCACCTTGTCGGGCCCCTTCGCGCGGAGCTGGGCGTAGAACTCGTTCTCCACAGCGGTGGCGGTGGCTGGCGCACGCAGCTCTGGTACCACTCCTTCCTCGGTGGATGCAACCTTTAGCTTCGCCTTTGGACAACACAGTCCCAGCGCCCGCCCCAAGCACCGAAGTGGGGAGCAGATCAGCACGTCGACTGCCGAAGCGATGGAGTGGAGACCGTACCCCAAGCCGATGACGAGCGCCACGATCAAACCTGCGAATGTTGTCGAGCACAGCACGGGCCACCCGGTGCCGAAGGCCGCGTAGCCCACCGTGTTGAGCCCACTCCCGACCAGGCCGCCCCCGCTCCACATCAAGTCCGACCACGGCATCTCCGTCGGCGGCAAGTCGGTGATCCAGCCCCCGAGCCAGCTCACTCCGAACTTGACGCCCCCGAAGCTGAACCAGCCTCGCATCTCTCCCTCCTCTTCCTGGTCACCAGCTTCCTCGGGACTCTGCCGCGCCGGGGGGTCCCGTCGACGGCCGCCGAACCAGCTCCACACCTCGCCTCCACGCCGACGCGAGCTCTCCTCACCTCCTCCGCCCGCCGGCGATGGTGAGGCCTCCAGGGGAGGCGGGGCCAAGGCCGATGCCGTAGGGGGCTGCTGGCGCCCCTTGCCTCCCGAGGACGCGCTCGCCGCCGGGCCCGGGGGGGGTCCTCGCCCCTTCCCGGCGGCGGGCGCTGGCCCGGCTGGGGGGGCGGCTCGGCGTTGCGGCACATCTGTGGCCGCCGCCGTGCTGCGTCGCCGCTGGTCGTCCTCCAGCGCCCGCAGCAGAGGCGCGTACGCCCCTCCACTGGCTGTCTCCAGCTCGGCCGGCAGCGAAGCCCCTGTGCCGCGGGCCGCTGACGGCAAGGCAGGCGTCGCGGGCTGCCCTCGCCATCGGCGGCCGATCTCCGCCGCGGCCACTGCCCCGATGATCATGGGCAACAGGGCCATCATGCGGGGGCAAGCCCACCTCTGGGCAACTCCTCCTGCCTGCGACCGCCTCCGCTGGCCTGCCACGGCAGGCGACTGTGCTCCTGACCGCATGGCACTCGAACCCTGTGCGGCTCTGGTCGCAGGGCGGGCCGTGCCCCCGCGCGGGGCCGCCCCCTTAAGGGCCCGAGAGAAAAGCTTGAGCCCCAAACGGGCCGCAGAGAGGGGAAAGGGACAGAGGACAGAGAGAGGGCA